ACATGAGGTAAAGTTCTTTTTAAAATTTATTTAGTGCATTTTAAATGTATTTATGTATTTAGCGGTTAATTTATATATTTCTGCTTTTATTTCTAATTATGTCAGTTTCGGTGCTCCATACTACAGAACTTGGAAGAGGTAATTCAGTGACTGAATCAGGTGTGTTGGAGCAGGGAAAAACATAAAACAATGAGGGCTGCAGCCCTCGAGGACCAGGACTGCCCACCCCTGGCCAAGACAGAAGCAAACATTACTTAACGTAAGGTTCATAAACTGGGTTTAGGTTTACAGCTGATTTTCAGCAGCTGACAAAGTGTAAAACGTTTATTTATTGCTGCCAACATATTTTTTTATTACCAGGATGACAAATAATTTTTACAATCACACCAGTTCATGTTGTAAATTCAATGAGCTGTAAAATGTAACTTACAGAGCTGCCCATGTGAGCCAGGGCCTCCTCAGCGCGCTCCACTCTGGTCTTCTTCGTGCTGATGGAAAACGCTCTCACAATATGGCTGCAGAACTCCACAGAGATCCCACAGCTCTGCAACAGAAGGCCGGGAAACACGTCAGAGCCAAAAAACCGCAAAACCACGCAGCTGAGATCAGACTTCTTTCCTTTCAACTTGACCATTTGACCGATGAAAAACAGAAATGATTGAATTAATCTCTAGTTTCTTTCTGGCAGTTTTGAGACCAAAGAACTGCTGATGTTCGACTTTGTCAGACAACCAGAGAATGCAGACAATTAAAAAAAAAAATCAGAATATACATGCGAGAAAAAAAAAGCACATACAACAAAAGTTTTACACAAATATGCACCTGATTTAATTAAAATGAGAATCTGTAATCGGATTAGATATTTATTTGCAACAAATGGGTTCAAACAGTGACGTCTTTGTTTTCTCCAGATTGAACGCAGCTCCTCACACCGCTGCTGCAGAATCACACAGGCAGCTAAACACGAGCAGATATTCACACCAGCTTCATAAAACCAACATGGTTTGTACTGTTCTGAATCTGACATGTTGTATTTTTGGGACTATAGTCTGTGCACTAAGAGGTTAAGTTGTCTGTGACTTCAAATTACTGTGATAAATATTAGTGGAAATATAACATTAATAACACATGGTAAAAGAAAAATTCATGCCACAGAGATGAACAGACATTCAGCCGCACCTGGTTTAAAACAAAAAGATGCCAGTTGTGTGACAAAATGAGTAAAACAATGTGTGTTATACCAAATTTCCTAAATAATGATATGTTTTCTCCCTACTTTTGTATTTGTACAAAAAAGCATGTCACAGGTACTTTAATTCTTTTTTTTGTCCACAGGATAAAAAGGAACCTTTTTTGCCAACTTTCCTACAAACTATTATTTTGTTACATTTTTATCTAAGAACAAAATTATTACGGATAACTTTAAAAAAGATAAAATAATATAGAGGTAAGAAC